GCGCCGTGACCGACAGCCATCTCGAGAAGCTCATTGTGACCAACACGCTGCCGCAGGCGGCGAACCAGGCTGCGTGCAGCAAGATCGAGGTCATTGATATCGGTGCGGTGCTTGGCGAGGTGATCCGCCGGAGCCATTATGGCGAGAGTGTTAGCAAGCTGTTCCATGAGGTGCCGTATTGAGGAGGATGTGTATTTAGAGAGAGAGGGAGATTATCTAGATGTGGATGTAATTTTTATATTTGACGAGAATTGACGAAAACGTCTCAGGACGCGAATGTAATTTAAGCAGGAGCTCGAGGTTCCCAAGGCGCGAGCTTCGGGGTATTAATTAAATGGCACACTTTCACTGGCAAGGTCTTCGAGTTTGCAAGCAAGAGATTTGACAGCGGATTGTGTTTTTAAATCTAGCGGTTCATTGAGACACAAAGCAGCAGATCCCATTGACTATGTATAACACACGCAAAATATTAATATCGGCATATGATATGCACAACTGGGTCTTAAGAGGCCAGCATTCCGACATTCACTGTGCATAGAATGTAGATGTCAGACTCGGGCAGCGACGTTCTCGCGACAGAATGTGTCGAAGGGGAGACGTCGCGGCTTTTACGGCGGCGATCCAGTCGGTTTGGGTGGAATTGGAGGCAGATGAGGAGGACTCGGAGTGCAGGATTTGAGGCATCGGTGCTACAGTTGTTGTTGCACGGGGGTTCAAGTTTTGAAGATAGCGGTTGGGTTGGAGTCAGAAGCGGAGGCAAATTGAAAGTGCGACGAGACGAAGGTCAACGGCGCCGCGAAACTTGAAAATGACTCGGGCGGCGATACCAACAGTTGCGGATTTTTTAAAGTCACTTGGAGGTCAGCGCGAGTGAGGCCTAGGTAGGCTTATTTTGACTCGGAAATTAATTCCATGCAACATGGTGTATACAAGCTATGTATCACCATCGGAATCCCAGTTTTCCGGTTGCGGGGGCCAGCATTCCACCCGCCACTCTGCTACATAAAAATTGACAAAAAAATCAAATGTAGATCAGTCAATCAAGGCTCACTGAGGGCGGCGGCGTTCTCGCGACAGAAGGCCTCGAACGCGTCCTGCTTGGGCTGCGTGGCGGCTTTGCGGCCGGCGACGAATTCTTCTTTGCGGGCGGAGCGCGTGGCTTCGTCGACGGTCTGGTCGTACAGCCAACTTAAGCGGACCGGTGGAACGTCTTTGAGTATGGCGGCCTGAGGCGGGTGAGCACGGTGGCGTTGGATGCGAAGGAAACTGAACCTTGAGCTGGTGATATTGGGCGACGAGTACGGCGTATTTGGAGTGGTCGGCCAGTTTGGAGACCGGTGCATTGGATGCGAGGGTGGACTCGGAGGACGACGGTGCGTCAGATGAGGACTCGGATTTGAGCATCGGGGGACGTCGCGTAGTGCTACTTGAACGGCGCGAGGTCGAGTCTTTTTGAAGATAGGGGTTGGAGTCGAAACACTCGGATCCGGACCAGGGCCGGACACATTTCAAAGACTGCTACACGCTCTACGCGGCCCGGTTCTCGCAAGCTCGAAGGGCCGGGAGGCATGTGAGCTTGCCCTACGCGCTGTCGGATATCCGGCTCAGGGTGTTCAGCGTGGTGTCGTCGGTCTTCTGTAGAAGTCGGCGGGCGTCTTCGGTGAGGGTGGCAGACTCTGTGCAGACTCTTCACTTTCGTGTGAGGCCGTTGAGGGGTGGAAGGGATTGGGGCAAGGTGAGGGACTGCTGTGGAATCGGGGTGGGAGGTAAGAGGGTAGAGTTTGTATTGCATCTTCACTGTGGTGTTTATGTTATTACAGGAAGGTCATTCTAGAGAAAACTAGGCGCACTTTCAAAGTCTGCTTCTACGAGAGCTTTGTGGATGAGTCAGCTAGCAGAAGCCAATTTCAGAGATCTTACTGTTACAGAAACTAATTATAGGGAGGGGCGGGGGCTGCCTTGGTGAGGAAAGCACTGGCAGGCAATCTGCACTGAAGAAGAATGGCCATTCTCACTGAAAGCCACAAGTGTTTTTGAACATGCTTACTACGATGCGTATGCGCAAGCGCTGAGAAGGGACAGAAAGTCGGTATTAGTGCACAGGGAAAAGCTGAAGATGCGCACAGAAGGCAGTCGCGACGTCGTCGAAACTCGCATCAACCGAATTAAAGCGGACGTCGACTGAGTCAACTTGGTGTGAAAGGTGTGAAGAAACAGACTTGTTCAAAAGTGCTAAACGTACCGGATGCCTAAACTTTACGTAGCTGGTATTTAAAAGACTGCTGCAGCAATACTAGACTGCATCCGTTATGGATGTACACGGCGTGTCGTCAACGGTGCCCCGGGGTCGATATAACTGCAAACCCAGCATGTTGCCTGACTAACAAATGTTTGCGAAAAGACCTGCGTGAACCCAAGTTACCACTGTGGACTTTGAGAATACGTATCCAACTGAGAAAATCTCGACGCTTATAATAATAACAGGTTACGCTTCTGGACTTGGCGTTTTGGACACGGCTGGCCACGCATTTTGCTGTTATCGCCACCAGTGAGGTAAGTAGCGCGTGGTAGGCAGCTCGAAGTTCAATTGATTCGCGCTGCACCAAGCAAGGTACAGGAGGTGATTGTTGGTATGCACGTTGAAGGAGGTTGAGAGTGCTAACGAACGACGAAGTTGAGACGATAAGTGGAGGAAAAGGTCGTGTCGAGCAGACATGGGAGGAGCGCAGTAAGCAAAGCAATTATGTAGCGCGCGGCGCGGCGGAGCGCTATAGTCGTTCTAGCTCGTTTCTCGGAGCGCCTACGGATACAATTTTGATGGACCAGTGTTGAGACGTTGACAGCCGCTCAACGACGGTTGCTTGTAGGCGCAGAGCTACGCGGGCGGCTTGTGACAGCAAGAAAACATGGCTGGCTGACGAACAATCATTTCGCCATCTACTCACAGCAACGCCCCGTCGGAATACGCGTTGACAATGAATACACGCAGCCCTGGTACTGGAAGCCGGCGCAAGTGAAGAGAGCACGCGAACGATGAGAGAACGCCACGCGATACGACGAGTTTTGAGACTTTGACAGCCGCTGAAGGGGCGGTCGCTTGTAGGAGCTGGGTTGGCGTGTGTCAAAAGCGTTGTTTGGCTACGGCGTGTTGATCAAACGTGGCCTGCGGCTCTGCATGCGCCGGAGCTGATCCCATGCGGAATCAGCTGCTGCTCTCCTTTCCTTTCCTTGCCCGCCATGGACAGTCCCTCCTGGAACGACACTCTCCGCGCCTCCCTTGCCTCCTGCGTTCCCTGCCTCGGAAGCCCAAATAACAATCCCGACTCCGACTCGGAGGACCCGGTGCCAGACTCGTCCTACGCCATCCGCCGCGCGCGCGCCGACGAGCTCGAGGGCCTGCTCGCCGATTCCGATGCCCACGCCGACGAGGGCGACGCCGCCGCCGACGCCGACGCCATCTCCCTCCACTCCCACCTCGGCCCCCGCGGCCGCCGCCGCCCTCCGCCGCGCACACCCCGCCACATAGCCCTCTTCGGCTTCAGCCTCTTCGGCCGCCCCCCCGTTCGCCTCGACAACACCGCCCCAGACCCCTTACACGGCCACGCCCCCATCCCTGCACGCAGGCCGTCTCAAAACAGCACCGCCGACCTCCTCGCGGCCGCCGCCCGCGACGGCGCGCCCCCCGAATCCCTCTCTGACGCGGACATCGAGCGCCGTGCCCGCCGCCGCGCGCGCAAAGAGATGCGCAGGCTCGCGGCCGCCGTCGCCGCCCAGGACGGCGCCGAGTTCGAGGGCTTCCCCGGGAGTGGAGGCGGCGCCCCGCGCATCCCCGCGCCCTTCCTTCCACCTCCGCCGTCAACACAAGCGCAAGAGGCACGGGACGCCGCCGACGACGACGAAGCGGACCTCGACGGCCTGTCGTACGCGCGCCTCGCTCCACGCTCGGGACCCGGCGCCGGCGGCTCGCGCTCGAGCGGCCGCTCATCCAACTCGGGCGGCTCGGGTGCCGGCTGGGGTCCGGGTGCGGGTGCTGGGTACGAGCGCGTGGGTTCGGGGGCGGGGTACGAGCGCGTGGGGCCGTACATGCAGGGCCAAGCCAGCACCCCCTTCGACGCCGTGGTGAAGCCAAAGAAGAAGAAGCGCAGCACGAAATCAAAGTCGAGCGCCACCTCGTCCACGCTCGCGTCCCCCCCGCCCAGCGCGGGTGCGTTCGAGCGCCGGTTCGAGGCGGGTGCGTTGGAGGCGGCCCCCGGTACCAAGGGCGAGGAGTTTGGCCCCTTCGCCGATGCGGACGACTTCGACGGCACACCCGGGGGATTGGGATTCGACGACGCGCCCGGGTTTGAACGCCCCTTTGACGATGCGTCTCACGGCTTCACGCGCGACACGGACTTTGCGCGCGAGGCGCTCCCCAGCCCGGGTCTTTCTTCCTTCACGCGCGAGGCACTCCCTAGCCCGGGCCTCTCGTCGCGCGCGCGGGGGTTTAGCTTCGCGTCAGGGGCGTCAGGAGGCGGCAAGGGTGGAGGGGGTGCGTTTTTGGCGGGGGTTTAGGTGTTGTAGAGGGAGTTCGTGGAGTTCGGTGAGGGGTTTGGGAGTTCGTTCGCGCGTGGAGGCGTATTTATATATGCATGGAGGATGGAGGACGGACGGATTTATGACGATCTATCCATGACGATTTTATTCAAGGGACGGGAGGGGACAGACACATCATGCTACATAATTACTTATTTTGTGCGGGGAGGAGGAGGAGTTGGAGTTGATATACCTGAGGTGGAGGGGTAGTTTGGAGAATGGGTGTGTGCAATCCAAGATATGAGAGTATGAGAGATTTCTGAACTTCTGCGCGAGAGAAATAAAATGTTATTCGGAGGAAATTTCGGCGTGGAGGCAAAACTATCCTGCAAAGCCGGAGCGCAGAGAACGCAAAGTTACACCAGAAGAAAAAAAAGGAGAGAAAAAAAGAAAAAAAGGAAACAAGGAAACAAGGAAACAAACAAAAATTCCGGATCGGGGAATCGAACCCCGGGCTGCCGCGACCAGATTACATAAATCTTGGGCTTACGTAAGCGTTTCTGAGAGGCGGCAATGTTAACCCCTACACCAATCCGGAGATACAAGAGACTCCTGGACAAGATATATGAGATAGGAAAGTTGTGAAATACATCCGAGAAAGTGTTGAATTTTCAAAGACTCATCCAAATTGGGTGAAGAGGTGGCAATGTCACCAATCCGAGATAAGATGTAGGTCCAGCAAAGAGATATAATGTATGAGGGATCAGTAATCCGGTATTATCTGCACCCTCTGTCTTCTAGCTCTGCAGACCTTGCAACAGATCACTACAGATCAAGGTATGGCCAATCTATCACCCACCAACTATGTGCTCGCCACAAGGTAAGTAACACTGGTTTGAAACCAGTCCATTCATTTGTATTTATTCAGACACAGGCTCTAACTTGCTGACAATTCCAATAGCTCTCAAGAATTCCTCTGGCATGTCATGGATCAGATATTTGCAATGGAGTTTGGAATCAAGTGGTTTTCACTGACTGGCTGTGGATCCAACAAGATTAAACTACAGTTCTATGATCTCGCCTATCAGTCCCTCAAGGCTCATGCCACTTTCTTTGAACCCCTCCCTGAAATAGAGCAGCACCTGCAGCTCCTGGGCCCACATGCTGATGCCTACAAATAGGGGAGCTCAAAGTAGAACCTGCAGGACTGCTTTTTTGCTTTTTTGGCAGGCTGCTTTTCGGCACGCGTTTCGGCAGCCGTTCGGCCGTGACACCTGTGACTGAGAGCCACACTGGGGCAAAACTTTACTCTACGAGACACCACTCTTTACACATTACACACATCTTTCTTAAGATAGGCCTCATTCATACCTATCTAATGCTTAGTCATATGTGATGGCGCATTAAAAACTCTTTAATAACTCAACAAGGTTGAAATCAAATATTTTGGTTTGAGGTTCTCTTCCAAATATCACATAGTATATGGACAAATATCTTGAGGAATTATAAGTTGAGAATTGTGGGACAAGATAGCTTTTTCGTCACTTTGATGGCAAAGTCAAGAGAAGTGATCGGAGCAGAAAAAAGCTATCTAGTCTCTCATCCTTAAACCTAAAATCTCCAGAATATTTTTGAAAATAATATGATACATTTCGAAGGGACTCTCGAACCAAATTTCCCAATTTCGTCCTCCGAAAGAAGAACAAGAAAGTGTCTTCTGAAAAGTCTGCCAAAACCACTGTGCAGGCACCGGAGCCAGTGTAGACTTTTCCGGGGCCTTTTGGTCTGAAATAAGGAGAGAAGAAAGGATGCATATCTCATGGGCTATCAACTATAAATCATGTATGTCACATCACAGCTGAATGGTTGCTGAAACACGTTGTGGAGCTCCCACATGCGCTACACCATGCACACAACACACCATCTCTCATCCAAGCCTTATTCGCAATCTCACTTCGACGCCCAATCCAGATTCATACATCCCATTTTAGGACAACCGTGTCTCCACTTCAAATTATCGTATTCGCACTACGACCTCGGATGATGCGTGCCTGCAGACTGTCATCACCTTCCACCACGCCACAACCACGCTGCCAGCAAGGACTCGGACCCGTAATCCAGGAACTCGGACTTCGAACCACTTGATAGCCGCCAAACTCGGTTCGCATTCCCAACGCGAAATAAAGCTATCGGTCCCACCACACTTGAAACAATGGTTCCGCTCGGCTCCCCCTGCGTTTACAGTACTGAGGACCAGGCAGGAAAGGTATAAAGAGCGTAGGAACATAGGACAGTAGTCAGTCAATAAACGGTGTACTTCCCCTGATACCTAGCTCACCCCTTGGTACCACACACCATCTCAATAATTAATTGGCCACACACACCACACACACATTTGCCCACAGCATCTCATTGACTAACACCCCTTTCTTTCGCAGCTTAAGAAATAAGCTGGCGTGAACTCACTCTCTCCGACACACACACACACACCTTCCTTCACGAGCCCAGTGCCCTGTAGAAGTGGGAACACGATAAAGGACCTTGGCAAATCATCTACAGTGACCTCTGGTTACAAGCGAGCATAACTGCACGCCTAAACGAAGAACGCAGTCGACGTCGGGGAATTTCTGCAGACACAGCCACTTGGCTTGTACCGGTTCACCAACTACGAACATTCATTTGGGGAAATTCGAAGTGAGGCGACAGCAGGATCTCTGGATAGTGACAAGTAGCAGATCAGTGGATTGCTAGCTTGGAGACGGTATATTTTTCACCCACACCTATTTTTACTGATCAATTCGAATCACCACCTTGAATAAACATTCCTTTACAACAAGTCATGCATTCCTGTCCTACCAACCAACTACTATCCATCCTTAACACCCCTTTGGACGAACCAGCTGCCAATTGAGGAATAACTCCACATAGCAGCCCCGCAGTCCGCATCACAACTGGAGCCCACCGTGAGGGGTTTTTATTGTGGATAATTGTAACACCTATATATTAATTGACATGACAGGCACCCATTTAGCGCTCATTTAATACGTATTTGTACATATATTTCTATACTCATGTGATATAGCTTATCTAATCATCTTATCTTCTACCTCTACTCGCATGCTCGCTCGGTGAGGGCTCATCCCTCCGGACCCCCTGGATGCCTGAGCATGCATCCAACTGCTCCCCACGCTACTGGGATTCTGTAGCCCCGACCCGGGTCAACAAGTCCCTTGTAGCAGGGTTACAGCAACACAAGAGGAGTCGCTTCCCTGCGACTCCTCCTCTCGAGGCCCGTCTCGTGTGCGCCTCAAAGGGCGGCACCGATATGGGCCTGGCTTCAGCCGATGCTGAAGTCCTAGAATACACACCGCATCACAATGGAGCCCACCGCGAGGGCTTTACCGCAGCTGAAGCCAGGGGAACGGGGATTCCGCTGCACATAGATGTCTCGCTCATCATCGCGTGCGACCCCCGCTCTCAACCTGTTAGCGATGACGGGCCTACTCCGTGCCGCGTGCTCGTCCCACTCAGACGCGGGAACCGGAACTGTACTTGTTGACACTTCCGGATACTAGTCAGACTTCATCAGGATGCACGCGGAGTGCCTCAAGGGTTGTAATCCTTTATTCCACCTTTACAACTGTCCCTTCAAGTATTGGGACTTTGCTGGCAACTTCAGGCGACCCAGGCACGCAACTCGCTTCCATACCATACAGCACGCCTCCAAGCGGTAGCGCATGGAGCAGTGAGTGCCCGATGCGGAGTCGCGTTTCAACCTGCCTGATTGCTGGAGAAATTCACTACAAAAGAAAGGGTCCCTCGCCATCATAGGTCCGTCCTCTTGTTTTACACTAACTACCATGGCGAGTACAGGGAGATCCGAAGTACCTGAAGACAGCAAAGGCAAGGGCAAGGCTGCTGCTCCGCCTCCTTGCATCATCCAGACCCGCTCAACTTCCGGGGCTTCAGGGTCAGGGTCGAGGAAGAGCGGCCCCGTGGTGGTCACTAGAGGAGGGTCGAGCGCGAAACCCTTTACGCGCACGCCGTCTTCTAGTGCTTCTACGCCCACAGCCGTGTATGCACAACACCATGGCCGTGCGCCCACGTCCCCTCTTGCTCCGTTCGGAACGCGCACCCCCCGACTCCCTTCCTCGTTCCCGACCTTCTCTAGAGCCCTCGCACCACCACGTTCCGCAGGACGAGGGAACAATCGAGTCAGGGTGGAGGAAATTCCCGATGAAGGGAATCCTCCCTCCATCTACACCCAGCAGAGCGCAGCTTCATCCAATTTGGATGCCGCGAACTCTGGGTCTGGAGGCGAGTCGCGAGGCAGCCCTCTCATGGGCACTCCCCTCGATTCTTCCAAAACGTCGTCGGAGGAGTCGGAAATCTCGGAGCCTGGCTCCTACATAGAAGATGAAGGACCGGGGCTTGAACGGGATCTCCCTCCTCATCTGGACAACGAGAGTGTCACGGTCGCGATCCGCCGCGCCCAAGGAGAGGAGGAATCGTCCAGGAAGTTCTTTCGTCGTGCGGGTCGTTCCCTTGACTTGTACAACGAACCTTTGGAAGCATCCATCACGAGATACCATGCCTACGACCCCGATGAGGACGAGGATCCCCTCCTCTACTACGGTGCGGTAGACGGATTGGCTCCAGGGACAGCCTCGATGTGCCTTAGGGACGCAGTCATCTGCTTCCAATACCCCCATTGTAATTTCCTTTGGACTCATCTATCGGAGGCCATCGCGGGTATCAATGAGATGAACGCGGATTCACTCCAGGTCGTTCAGAGCCGGGACATAGACGGCGTGGACTTCTACCACCTCAACCTGCACGCGCTGACCACGGTGGCTCACGCCGTCGTCGCGGTCCAGCAGATCCTGGAGGCTCTCACCAGCTTCTTGGGGAAGAAGCCAGCATCCAGCTTCGTCTTGGATCCGAGATTCACATTCCTCTTCATGGCGGAATCGAGCGCAAGCGAAACGGACGTGCACTTTGCTTTGCTTACCCTGCAGATACGCCTGCGACTTGCCGATATGCACATTCGCAACTACCTATGGGGCATTCGCGAGTCTCTAACCGGAATAGAGCCTTCGGAGTGTGTCAGCTCTGTGGACTTCACCCTTTCTGGAGTACGCGAACAATACGGGCGAGTCGAGCCTGCACTGGAGCTCTCCTGCATGCTAGCCCGCAGGCAGTACAGCAAACGCGCGGCTCTGATCGATGCGTACGCCCACCAGTCGGCTATCGACTCGCTACGGCTGCTGGAATCCCCAGACCCCCGTCCTTACAAGCACCGCAAAAGAACGGTAATCCCCACTATCCGCGAACCCGACGCCCCCGTGAGCGCGATTCCGATTGCGGCACATGGGGGCTATATGGGTCCTCTAACCGGGGTCCACTTTGCCAATCCCCATTCTGTATCTGCGTTGTCCATCGGAGCAAAAAGGACACCCGTAGTTCGCTACCAGGAGCGGGAACCTTCAGGGATCATCGTATCGTGACGTCGCGAGGCTCTGAGGTTGGGGGGCCATTGATGATGCGGATGTCTGTCCCTCCCCGCAGGGTAATCCCTATAGTTCGAAGCACTCCTGT